ATTCGACGGGTTTTTACGTTGGCTGTCGAGGGCCTAACACAACCCTCCTCCTTTATCCGAGCTTGGGACCGGCTATACAACATAGGTGGAGTTCCCTTCCATCTTATAATTCATGAATTTCTAAAATCCCTCATCCCTGAATTTCCTGTGTCCTGTCTTTGGGTTGGACTCTGGACATGTAGTGTCATCGTGGCTTATTACTATTGTGGCTCATTTTATATATTGTCAAATAACATCTAATTATTATATCCTTTCCAGTGGTTCATGGCTGCTTTCTGGCAAACTAGCTAAGATGCTTTTAATTGACTGTGAACAAAACAGTGATGACTGCCCGTTGGCAATATCAGGTACAGCTAGTGGAGTTTATCATTCTTTGATTGATACGTTCTTATTTAGTTGTATATCCATTTCTGATTGTACATTGTCTCGCTTGCTTGCTTTGCTTTGGCATTTTCTTCTGAAGGCTGAACTACATGTAAATGAGCATAATTTTTTCCACCTAGATTTCCAGTGATTTTGCTTTGTTTCCTATATTTCTAGTCATTTATGTTGAGCGTTCTGATGTTTTTCTCTATATTCTTGGTGATCGAAATCTTGCAGTTCTGGACTTTACCATTCAGCTGGTAGAAACTGGGGTGGAGAATGATTGTCTCCTGGCGTTAATTATTTTCTCTTTGCAGTATGTTCTGGTTAATCATGAATCCTGGAAATACAAGATGAAGCATGTGCGATGGAAAGTGACATTGAAGGTATTTCTTGCATCTACTAGAAGTCACAATTTCTGATTCTTAGTTAATCTTTAGTTGACCTCCTAGATGACTGATAATGATTCAGAATTGACTTTGTCATTGATTAGTTTGACTATTGGCATGCATATGTAATAGGCTGCTAAAACGCCCCACTTAGGCCCTGAACTACTCAAAAGCCAAGGGGAAAATGGCCTCAACAAACTGACTCAGATAGAGATAACTGCTAAAAATGTAAAATTCTAATTAATAACTAAGGCTTCTGAAAAAGTAATATAATGTTTAGAAAACATTATCTCCACTTTTCCATGAAGCTATCATTGCTATTTTTTCGTATTTCTTGCCATTTAGTGTTTTTTCCGTTTTTAAAAAAATTCCTTGTTTTCTTAACTTTGGTCCCTAATTCTTCTTGGTTACTTTGTTATGGATCCATAATTCTTTCTTCTTAATTTTCAGTGATTAATTTGTTGCATGGTGCAACGTCTGCCTTTTTTTGGCTATCACCCCTCTTAGCAGCTAGCACAGTTCTTGGCTTCCTTAAGTCACTTTGTAGTTAGGTGCAGGCCTTCTTCTGTCTCCTCTTTTGCAAGGCGGAGGCCTTGTTCACCCTTCTTTATTGCAAGGTGCAATCTATTATTATTTCTCTTCCTCACCTCACTTTGTTGTAAGGTTCTTCACCTCACCTTTGATGAGAGACGGGATAGTTTCAGTTAAAATTGGATTTTAGTGGCTTCTTTCTTCTTGGAATTTAATACCTAAAAGTCAAATAAAAACAGCCTAAACAAACCAGCTAAGATATGGGGAAGAGCTAAAATAATAAAAATTCAGCTTTATATCCAATGCTCATTTCAAAGTAAAGTCATGTTTAGATAAGATGATTCCAAATATACAGGTTTTCTATCGGCATATATGTTGATCAGAAAGATCTCTTGTTTTCATATGCTTGTATCTTGTTATCTTCGACTCCTGTAAGGAGTTGGGCTTTTGAAGATTGTGGTACATTGAATCAAATCTGTAGTGCTTTTGCTGTTGCTAATTTTTTCTCTGGAGAATGTTATTTTGATAAGTGTACTTACCATGATGAAAATGGTGAACTACAAGTGGTTGATTTTTTCTTGGCATGATTAATGACTCTTTTCTGTGGTTGTAGTTGACATTTTCGTCATTAGAATTATTCTTACCCAAAGTCTTTTTGGAATTTTCCTTGATATTTAATCCCCCAAATTACAAGCGGGTGTGACGTGATTCTGGGAAAAATTGTGATGGAGGTTTCCTAAGCTGCCGTTATGACTACTTTTTACTTTGGATATTATAACAGGTGCTTGAATTGATGAAAAATGCAACATATTGATGGCTCGCCATGGAAAAATAGGTGAGATAATTCATGATGTGTTGTTCTCTGATTCATCCATTCACAAGACGCTGTTCCAAATTGCTTGCACTACAACGAATGCCTTGGAGGTGACACGTCGAATTATTTTTGTTTTCCTTGTTACCTGATACTTGCTACAATGTCCCTATTCCTTGACCTTATTGACAAAAGCACTTTTGTTGAACAGAAATTGCATGCAAGCCGCCTCTTTGATCCAGTGGAGATTGAAGGGTTACAATTTGCAATAAGTTCTGTATTAGATGTTCTTCTTGTCATGCTGACCAAATTTTCCGAGGTAAAGAGGAAAATCACAGGTCTTTTTAATGTTGAATGTTAGATTTATGAGGAGGAATTGGATAGGTTTCCTTGTATATTGCATAGTCTCGAAAAATAAGCCACACTATTCACAGCTAATGAATTGTACAATTTGCTGTAGAAGTGTATATTTTATATTTTTTCTCCTGATGGTCTTAGTTACCTGTGATTATGATGGTCCTGCATTAGTAGCCACAAGTAATTCTTGTGGTACTTATGTGGCATGGCTTTGTCCTCCTACAAGCCAGTTTCAATGGTGAATTCCCATTGTTGCTTTGGTCTCCATCTATAGGTATCAAGCTGGATCAACCTCCTCCGAAAAAGCTTAATGTGGAGTTTGCAGCCAGTTAACTGGAGTCCGCACCGTAGAGTATAGTTGAGGCTGTCAGTTCTTTTAGGGTGGTGGTGCTATGATGGAGTCCCACATTAAGTAGCTGTAATTACATTTTTTCTACTTAAACAGCATAGTTCTTCCACCTTACAAGCTGGTTTTTGAGGATGGGTCCCCATGCTTGCTTAGGTCTCCATGAGATTACAAAAATTCAGTGCTGTGAACTAAAGCAGTATTGTGCTTGACTATTGTTTGTCTCATTTGTTAACTGCTCTTTTTAGTTTTGATTGTGATCCATAGTTGTCATTGTTATCTGCACTGGTAAGTCGTATAAAGGAAATACTGATAGACATTCTGTGTATTCCAGGAGGCATCATCCACCATTTCTGTTTTTCACCAGGCAGTGCTATCATGTACAACCAATTCTGTCCCCATTGTTGCTGCTGTTATATCCTTGATTTCATACTTTCGAGATCCTGTATGAACTCTGCCCTTTCTCAAATTGGGAGTATGAGAACATTTTCATGATTTTTTATGTGCCTCTTATCTCGATTATGGACATGCTGCAGTACTGATGTGTAGTTATTTAACAGTAACTAACACCTCCCTTTTGTGTGTGTGTTCTACCAGTCTGCAGAGACCTCGTCTACTTTGCAGTTATGACTTGTGCCATGTGTTTATTGTGAAAGAAACTAATTAGTTCCATATGCTAGATAATTTACTAATTTTTCTTGTTGACGCCTGGTATGTCATATCTCTTTTTCTACATGGCGTTGTTGACTTGTTGTATGTGTGCTTGTGCATTTGCTTCATAAACATGTACTTTGGCGTGCCTTATACTGAGTTCTGCACATCATTGTTGATTCTGCTCTAGTTCAAAAATTAACTGTAAATTTATATGCCCTTTTGGTGAAGGCATACATGGAAATGCCTGATATACTGTTATGTCACTTAACCACGTTCTGTTCTGTTGTCTATATAGGCCATCCAAATTGGTGCTGCTAGGTTTATTTCATTCTTATTTTCTATAGCAGATTCCGTTCAACCATTTTCATATGGAACCACATGCTTTGCTCCAGAATCTAATCAGGTTTGTGGATCTTAGTCTGACCCTTTCAAATTGATTAAATTTTAGATTGTAAATGCCATCGAACTGATGTTTTTCAACTATGATTTTTGATAACTTAAATGGTTCTTAGATCGTGGATTTTAGACTATCTCTGAGCTACATATTGTTGGAGCAGTCTGCATCTAATGAAGATCTGTTTATTGCAACAGTTGATCTATTGACTTCTGCAGCACATCACCAGGTTTGAAATGATTTAATATGATTGACTGAATCGTGTTTCACTTTTTCATATTATGAAATTACAAGTTAACTTTAACTGATCATATTCGGTTTTTGGTGCTGTAAGCAAGCTGCTTTAGTAACTTTCAAAATGGACGCTCTATGTTTGTGCTTCTCTATAATTATAGGAAATGTGCCAAATATTTCTAGTGTTAATCTAAAAACATGTCAAAACTGTATTATTTATTCCTTGTAATCTACATGTATATCAGATTCTCTTGTGTAGGCTGAATCTTGTTTGCATAAACTCCTCAGAGTTCCATTTGGACGTCAAATTTAATTGTGAACATACTTTTGTGTAATTGGCTTCCTAATGTTGGAACCGATTCTCTTCCTCAGATGTCTCAACCGAATACTTGAGCAAGAAGTAAAAGTTTCTTAACTCTAGCAGAATGTAGAGTTGAGAATAATGCTATTTTGCCATGTTGGGTCATTTTCGGGAGTTTGCATTCTCTGAAGTTCCTAGTTCTAAGAGTAGCTAAAACAGTAAGAGCGGTCAGTAAATTATGTAAGAATATTCTGTGTAATGGCGTGCTTTTTCTTGGTATCATCTACCGTTCTCTTGTACATATGTAGACACCTCTATTGCATATTGAGTGAAGTAATAAAATAATGCAGTCATTCTTTCCCTTGGATTCTTACATGGTATGTTGATCCATGGAGAACTCAATGGAAGCCATAGCAAGTCTTTTGATTCAACCTTTGCTCACAACAAAGCTTTGTCTACAAGGATTTTCAAATTGCATCTCAGTGAAACTTGAACTATTCAAACTTCCTGCTCTGGAAGCAACAGACCTTGGCCACAATAGATGTATGATGTGGGGCTCATATACTCCCGCTCTGTCTTGCCAACGTTTCACTCTGAATTGTGTTTCTATCCTCAACTTAATAGTAAAATTTACTGTCATGAACACCAGAGGATCCATACGATTTTTAAGCCCATCAGCTGTCATCCCTTTCTGACTTTTGTACTTGCATGTCCAAAAGTAATTCTTCTTGACACAATCTGAAAAAACACTCATTTTTACCAAAGTAATTTTGGTCAACATTCCCAAGCATTAAACAGTCTTCCAAAGTAATTTGACCAAAAACGGTTCTCCAAGCTAAGTCTCCACCTATTGTCAAACACTTGGTGACCAAGGAAATGATAATAATAATGCAAAATTCTCGTCATTTTCACGAGGGTTCACTTTTAAGCATCATATCATAGGTGTTATATCTGTTTATCTCCCTATATGCTGATATACCTAACATCATTTTAAGGTATTTCTAACTAGCACTTGACTGAATTCCAACTACTTCTCTCCACAACTTCTTTATAGCTACTGAGTTAAAATTTTTGTAGCAGAAAATCTTCCCTTTTTAGGGGGAAAATGACATTTAAGGACCCTCTAAAAAATTACAGTTAAACCTTAAGATGTTGAATTTTGAAACTAAGACCATGATCCTTTGTTGGAATTAAAATTTCTTGAGTTAATTTTTTTAGTACTCATCTTCCATATTTTCATTACTCATTCTTAACATTTTCGGTACCCAGATTTTCAATTTTTTTTAGCAGTCAAACGTTTTCAATACTCTCCTTCCATGTTTACAACATTTATCTTTGATTTTTTTTTTTTCCAGTACAGAAAACATCGAAGATGATTGTTGAAAACATTTAAGATAACTGCTGGAAAAAATTGGAAAACTAAGTATTTAAAAAGGCTAAATATGAGTACTGAAAATGTGGAAGACATGCTAAAAAGGTTAACTTAAAAATCTTTTTAATTTTAACCGAGGATGGTGGTTCTTTTTTGGAATTTCAAAATTTTAGGTTCTTAATTGTAATTAATATTCTTAGAGGTCCTTAAATGCCATTTTCCCTGTTGGGGTGGGGTGGAGTGGAATCTGTAGATAGAAGTAACTTTTCTGGTTCCGCTCGGTTTGGCTTTTAGTAATTGACTAGAAGTTCTCTTATGCAGCCTGCATTTCTTATTGCTATATTTAATCCAGAGGAGAAGGACGATGGTCAGTTAATTGTTACTGGTGATGGAGAGTCGAAGGGTTCAAAGGACTCAGGCCTGATAGATGCACTTATGGATTATATTGTGAGGGCAGATAATCTGATCCAGAGGTACTATTTTCTGGGGAAGAATTTCATTTGGCTGCTTAGTCAACCTTGGGCCTTTAATTTCCATTGTCTGATCCTTTACACAAATGTGTCTGAGCACAATCTCTCTCTCTATATATATGGTTGTATGTATACATATTTGCCGTTAGGGCATTTTTGAATTTGTATATAAATATGTTGTTATACTCTTTATCTCCAGCCACCCTCGCATGCTGCTGAGTGTGCTTAACTTCATGGTTGCCTTGTGGCAAGGGGCTTCTCAGTACTTAAATATCCTGGAGTCTCTGAGAAGCTCTGAGAAGTTCTGGAAGTACTTGTCCAATGCAATCTTAAGAGTTGCTGGCAGCACAATTCATCTACCTGTTAATCTGACAGAGAAGGATGCTCAAAATCTAGCGAACACGTACCTTTGTCAATCTGCAATACTTGGAATCATGTCATATGAGCTGTTCTTGCAGAAAAAGTTGTTGCATGCAGAATCACTTGTGAAGGATGCAACTGGATCTCAGGGCAACGAACAAGATGGTGCAAAAACAGAAAAATCCAAGGCACCCGCTTTTTGTGATGTTAAGGAAATTTGGTCTTCCTGGTGCAAAGATTCTGTTTTGGAGAAACTAATGAAGTCGTATACTTCTGGGTATAATGATGACATATATTATAGTGCAAAAGTGAGTTTTCCTTTTGCTTATGGTCTTAATTAATTTCTATTTTGCCTTATGTTCAGGTTAATTTATAGCACTGATGCTCAGATTATCTGTAACGCTTTTAAACATAATGAGTTTGAACCATTGATACTGTTCCATTCTCTTCTTTCATTGGCATGCCTGTGAAGTAGAGAAGACTTGTAGAGCTCTTGCAGTTGAGTCTCTACCATATGTGACAATCATGCATGTGCATTGTATTAGTTCTTTCCCTTCCCCCTTCATATTCATCCTGTATTGTACGTTTGTGCATCAAATTAGTTCTTTCCTTTTTTCCTCATTTATATTCATCTTATAACGTATACAAGTGTGCTTAAATTTTTAGGTTGCCATCAGTTTATTCTCTGTCCACGTGATGGAAAAACTAGTGGCTGGTGATTCTGGAAGTTTATCAGTGTCATTGCAGCAGAAGTTTCATACAATGTTAACAAAGGTCCAACTTTCAACTTTTCTGGTTTCTTAGAGTCTATTGTTCTTCTTTACTTTGGTATCATGCATTCTATGTGTCTGGAAAATCTTTTCATATAGTCTGTTTCAAGAATCAAAATGTTAAAATCTTTAATGTTATAATTTTTCTGATTTACATGTTCATAAATTTGTTCTAAGCTAAAGTTTTCATTGCTGATATGTAGTTTTGTTTCTTTTTTGCAGTTGTGCATGCATCCTGCTTTTTCTGAATTACTCTGCCAGTATTCACAGCGTGGCTACAGGTTAAGTGTGTACAATTTTTCTGCTTTTGTGAAGGAGGACTGGAAAGGCTGCCTGTATCATTTACATGCTGAGAATGATGTGTTAGCTAATTCTGTGCAATATATTCTTTTATGTTTTGCACATAAGTGGATGTGTTTTTTCCACTTATGGATACTCAGTGTACATTTATACTATAAATTAAAGAGGATATTGAGAATTATTTTCTGAATGAAATCAAGATATTGTGTCTGAGTCTATAGTGATATTTTGTTGCTCTACAGTATAATTCTTATGGTGAATTTTCCCATAGAAGATGTATTTTCCTTTGCAGCGTTCAGTAATCATGCTTTGTCCTTTTTCATTTTAAATTATGACAGTGAAGGGAAGAAATTAAAGAAATTGATACTCAGTGATCTGTATTATCATCTCCAAGGAGAGCTCGAGGGTAGAAAAGTCAGCACGGGACCATTTAAAGAGTTGTCTCAGTATCTGGTTGAATCAAATATTTTGGAAACCTATCAAAACAATCTCAATGGTGACCTTAGTGCAACTACCAAGAATTTATACTTATTTGACCTTGTACGCTTGCGAGCTGATATAGGATTAGACGTGTGGGATTGTTCCGAGTGGAAGGCATCTAAGGAGATTGCAGAAATCATGTTGCACTGGCTGCAGGAAGCAAACTCATTTATGTTGGCTTCAAGTTCAAAGCTTTCCGCATTTAAAGCATTGATTTCTGTCTTGACTGTCTACCATGATGATGTGAGATTTCGAAACTTCAATTGCCTTTTATTGTGCTTTCTGATTTTAGGAAGTCTCAACTCAAAAAGTAGTAACCTATTAGTATTGAAATGTCAATGGTTTGCTGGGATGCCTGGGGCGTTAAATTTTCTCTCTCAAGGAGATTGGTAGTTTCGCTCCTGCAGTTGGTTTCTACATCTGCATAAATCTATGAATTTTTGCATACAGGAAACTCGGATCTTGTTATCAACAAGGGAAAAAAATGCATAATGATTCGAAACTTCTCCTATCGCACTGCAACTAAAATGTCAAGGTCGTAGCTAGAATATATGGTACTGATGATAATTTAATTTCTCTTTGGAATAGCCGGATTGATCAACCTGTGATAGATAGAAGTCCTCAGTACCAGTTTGAAATGGAAAATTTGGGCACTTCTGTCCAAAGTGACATTTTGTAAGGAGTGCAATTGTATCCAAGCTATAATGATTCTAGTTTTCATGCCCATGCACTTACCTTGAATATCTAGAATAACTGCAATTTTTGTTGTTTGCATAAATCATTTTCAATGAATTTGCACCTCTTTACCCTGTGGTGTTTTGAGGTCTCTGTTCAACATTATTTTTCTCATGATTTTGCAGGCACTAGGGAGAAAATCTATGAGAGAGGAGATTCCTGATCAAATCATTTTCACATGCATAGATAATATATGCCAATCTTTTCACGCTACAATTGAAAAGTTAGCACCCGTTCTTGATGTATCTGAAGATACACTCAATTTTCTTGCGTCTCAAGCAGAGCTGCTTCTCCAGTTGACCAGAACTGTCTGCAAAAGTCTCTCCTTTGGTGTTTCCCTGCTTGTTCTCAAATGTTCTGGTTCAGGTCTTAAACTGTTTAGTGAACTTCAGCTGTTGTCTTCTAAGGCCAGTGTGATAATGAAGCTATTACTCACATTGCTGCTTTTAGTACTAGATTCCAACTGCCTCAGTTCTCGTTTGGGTGGGACGATAGATGAGAAGTCCGGGGAGGGGTTTTCTAAAATTTCAATTGCAATCGTTGGGCTACTTCCCATTCTTTGCAAATGTGTTGCTGCTTCTGAACATTGTATGCTGTCTCTGTCAGTTATGGACCTGATATTAAGGAATTTTTTGATGCCTGAGACTTGGTTACCTGTCATAAAGAGTCATCTGCAGCTTCAACATCTCATGCTAAAACTTCAAGATAAAACGTCCTCTTCCATCCCAATAATATTGAAGTTTCTTTTGACACTTGCACGTGTAAAAGGAGGTGCTGAGATGCTTTATGCTGCTGGTTTCTTGTCATCTCTGAGAGTGTTGTTTACTGAATGTGATGAGGCGTCCTCAAGGAGTCATAGCGAAAATGTGGGTGGCTTACACCAAAAGTTTGAAATGCCTGTAGACATTTGGGGACTCGGATTAGCTGTGGTCACAGCTATGGTTCAATCCTTGGAAGACAGTTCTTCTTGCCCAGCTATTGTTGATAGCGTAATACCTTATTTTTTCCAGGAGAATGCTTATCTTATTTTTGGTTCTCTAAATGCTCCAGACCTCCCTTCAGATCAACGTGACAAGAAAAGACCTCGGCCACAGAGGTCATGGATGTCTCTTGCTAATCTTAAGGAGACAGAACATACTTTGATGCTCATGTGTGAATTAGCAAAACATTGGAATTCATGGACTAAGGCAATCAATGAAGCGGATAGACAGCTTAGAGAGAGATGTATCCATCTCTTGGCCTTTATTAGCAGGGGCACTCAACGCCTTGGTGATTTATCAAACAGGAGTGCCACACTTTTATGTCAGCCAACTCTTAAAGAGGAATTTGACAGTTGCTCAAAACCTTCGTATATCAACAGTAAAAATGGATGGTTTGCCCTTTCTCCACAATGCTGCGTGTCAAAACTGAACACCACTCCTTTCTCAACTGCTTTGACCATCTATGGTCAAGCAACTAAAGCTACAGATCTGTTTCCAAAAACATGCTTTTCTGACACTGTTGCTGTGCAAATATATAGAATTGTTTGTCTCCTTTTAAAGTTTCTCAGCTTACAAGCTGAGGGTGCTGTTAAAAGGGCTGAGGAGGTTGGATTTGTTGATCTTGCACATTTTCCTGAGCTTCCGATGCCCGAAATCTTGCACGGATTGCAGGTATGGTAAAATTTACGGGCATGTTATGTTCTCATTCAGTTATCGAATGCAAAAGAATGTTATAACAAAAATAAATAATAAATAAATACCACTCAAAATACATAAATGAATAATGTGGAGTTATATATGGCCAGAAATTGCAGTTGTGCTGACGTCGCTTTTCATTTGTCAGCAGTTCCATTTTAATTGTGATTGTAGAAGGCCGATGGAGAGAGGAATAGACTTTGAGCTTATTTTCTTTTGCTGCAGGATCAAGCTATTGCGATTGTTAGAGAGTTATGTGAGGCGAACAAACCAAGGGTTTCTCCTCAAATTCAGGACCTTTGTTACTTATTGTTGCAGATAATTGAAATGGCCTTGCAGTTGGAGCTTTGTGTCCTGCAGATATGTGGCATAAGACCGGTATTAGGGCGTCTGGATGATTTTTCAAAGGAAATTAAAACTTTATTTGGTGGTAATATGCCCTTTCTTTTGTCGGCCAGTTTAATGGTTGAACTTTTCTGTCATTTTGTATTACATTCTTAATATTTCTCTCTTTTTTTTCGGTGATTTAATATTTCTTCCTTTTCTTCCTAAAAATTGCTAAACATTTATTGATGCTTTGTGCAGCAATGGAGGAGCATGCGTTTCTGAAAGCTTCTAAAAAGTCCTTAAAACAAATGGTATCAATTATCTATCCCGGAATGCTGCAATCCGAGGGTTTATGATATATCTGTAGACGAAAGTGAGAAGGAAATGTGCATAATTATTTAACGGCGTAGTGCCAGTTAGAATGTAGCTAGCCGGGGACGTTCTGCTTGTTCATATTATAATTTTGCCTTTTTCCACACCATTCTTTTTCTGATTCTTCCCATTCGGCGTAGATTTTTTTTTTATTTGAGAAAAAGATGGTCATAGCTCATCAGTGGATGGTGGGGTCTAATTCTGTAAGTAGTGCGTTGCATGATTGTCAGGAAAGTAAATTCCTTTTCTACCCCCCCCCCCTCTTTTTTTTCGGTGGATGAATCCATATTAGAAGGATCCTTTCCAAAGTTAAATATTAATAGCCCGAAAACGACCGCCAGCACCTTGTATGCTTAATTTTATTAGCTTTCCAGATTGCATTACATACGATGTTACCAAAAAGCCCTGCTTGGACTAAAGATGTCACATTTTAAGATGGAAATCGGGGTAGTATTTTCAGCACGGGAAATTTTTCCAATGTCAACCACGTGTACGCAATAAATGAATGAGTTGAGTTATCCGTACACTTTATATATAAACTATAATCGAATTTGAACTTATAAATGGTTAATACAAGATGCTTATAAAATAAAGTACTTATAAGTGTCAGCAAGGTATTATCTTTTTCGAATATTTTATTGATTATTGATGTGCTTTTTCAGAAAATGCATACCTTGGTATCATCTCTGCTGCAGGGTGCCGCAGCGCACTAGAAGGGAAAAAGTGAGATGATGAAATCTGTTAATTAAAATTTAGAATTTTATCTGTGTTCTATTTTTTGGGTTTATTGATGCAGTTAGCCGTTTCCCCAAAAAAAAAAAAAAAAGAAACAGTTTCATGGTGGTCAACCCATGGACCTGACAATGTTACCGTTTGTAAGGTCCTACGCCCCTTAGTTTAGATCTTGTGAAGATGGGCCCACAAATTTATCACTGTTAGCAGTCAGGCAGATGAGGTGAGGGCTCCCTCACTGAACAATTTAGCTGACGCTTTTGATTTTTGAACACGAAGTTATCTTATAGGCGTGCTTCATATAATAATTAGTTAACTAATTTAAATAAATTTAAAAATTTAGTTTATTTAGTTATTAATAATAAATAAGTGTTATTTTTTATACAATATCTTTATTAATTATGTATATTAATTAAAATTATCATTTGATAAAACATTAACATGTGTAACAACTATAAAAATTATCTTAAAAAAAATAAGTAAATACAAGTAGTAAAATTATTAAAATATTATATTTAAAATCAAATTAAATGTAAAATTAATTTTTATATTAAACATATAAGGTAGTACCACTAATATTCTTGCTGCTAGGGGGAAAAAAAGTAGATAAAAGAAGTGGCGTCGTTTGTTAAGACTTTCGTGAGAGCGTTCGTACTCATTCGAAGATGATTGCCCCAAAAATAAGTAAATAAATAAATAGAGCACATAACCTTCCTTGGATCCTCCACCAACCGTGGTCACATCCGAACTTAACCACGGTTAATGCACCCGGCTCATAATCCTGCCACGTGCCCCAATCGAACGGCTAGTTCAAAGATATTAGATCCACGCGCCCTCTATATAAGCTTACTCGTCACTTCTAAATCCCTAACCTGTCCTCATCTCCTCTTTTGATCAGTCTGAGTTTTTCGCCCTTTTCTCGCAGCAATGGTAAACCCTAAGGTCTTTTTCGATATGACCATCGGCGGTCAACCGGCTGGCCGGATTGTCATGGAGCTTTTCGCCGACACCACCCCCAGGACCGCCGAGAACTTCCGCGCTCTCTGCACCGGCGAGAAGGGAGTCGGTCGCAGCGGCAAGCCGCTTCACTACAAGGGCTCCGCCTTCCACCGGGTGATCCCCAGCTTCATGTGCCAGGGAGGTGATTTCACCGCTGGAAATGGCACCGGTGGCGAGTCGATTTACGGTGCCAAGTTCGCTGATGAGAACTTCATCAAGAAGCACACCGGTCCTGGTATCCTCTCCATGGCTAATGCTGGGCCGGGAACCAACGGATCTCAGTTCTTCATCTGCACTGCCAAGACCGAGTGGCTCGACGGCAAGCACGTGGTGTTCGGCCAAGTCGTGGAGGGCATGAATGTGGTGAAGGACATCGAGAAGGTCGGATCTAGCTCTGGCAGGACCGCCAGGCCGGTGGTGATTGCTGACTGCGGTCAACTCTCTTAGACTGCTGCGGCCTTGCTTTGTGGTGGCTCTGATCTGGAAACCTGAACCTTTATGCTGTGTCTTCTTGTCGCTGTCTCGAGCTTTTATTTATCTTGAACTCTCGGTTTACTAGTGTCTTAGGAATTGGGGTTGTGCTTATGATGAAGGTGCTCTGGATCATATGAAACTTTTTACTCTTTTTCGTAAAAGTTAGTATGTGATGATGATATAAATGAGCTGCCTACCCGGAATAAAAGTAGAATTATTGACCATATATAATCTTCGATCTACAAGTTTAGTTTATGGGCGTGCCATTATGTTTGTTAAGAGTCTCTTATGAAATGGATTAAAAAAAAAAAAGAGGCTCTAGTACACGGGCAGGGGCTCCTGTGAAAACAGCAACAAAATTGTTGGTGAGGGTTAAGGGAATTAGATAGACATACTTTGGGCTCCGCAGAAAAGGGACTGAATTTCTTGTGATTGTTCATTGCTAGAAAATGTGTCGGGTATTGGCGCTTGATTACTGAACTTAAAGCCCCAACGCGAATCTCACAATCTGAGCTAGCTGGATGAATGGATTAGCGTGATGCCAATCTCAACCTTTACCCTATCCTCCATTTTACTTGAAAGCCTCCATCTTGTTGCAATCACTATGGCTGAAAACTAATTATAGCATTTGAGATTCTTTTTTCTTAATTCTAGATTTATTTCTAGTTTGTTTTTTCAAACATAAGAAATCTGACTCGTATAAAACTGGAAAGTGCTCCATCCTCTTTATTGTCCAAGTGATTCAGTATCGGACCATCTTCCTTTCACTTTGTTAAGTTTTTCAAGTCGATTTTCCCCCTTCCTCATCTGACATCTCTCATCCCTTCCTGAGATTTAGCTTATTGGCCATCATAACTTTGATATTTTGTGTGGGGATGAGATTGCTTTCACTTCTTTTGATAGGTGTGTACCCTGCCCCCCCGGGGGGGCCCTCTCTTCTCTTTCTTTCCTTTCATTCTTTCTTGAAGTTCTGGACATTCTATTTAGCGCATGGGCAATCATAGCTTTTAATTGTTTTCGGGGCACTTAAAGTTGCATGAGCAAAATAGATGAGGAACCGAGGCCGACGGTGGGGACACGCATGGGACAGTGTATAACAAAACTTGGAAGTGTGATTCCACAATTACGGCCGGAGCACGGAAAATATCTGGGACGGCGCGCACCGATTCAATCAGTATTTCTCACTTAACATAGTTTGGGTTAATGTGGCGTCCCACCACCGCTGATAAGCTGGGATTTTCAATTTTCAAATTATGAAAAAGATCCCACCGTTATCCAAAATTCGATGTTGGGCCAAACAATTTCTCGAAAATATTGTTTTAAAAAATAAAAGATTATTTTGGGAGAAATATTCTTATTCGCTTATAACGGGAAAAGTTCCAACTCACTGAAACGCTTTTTTCACATCATAAACTAAAAAAAGCAGTTAACTTGAGCACTTGCTGCAAAAATGGCATATATTTCTAATTCCCAGTTAATTCACATCTGAAGAGAAAGAGTGGACTTTTTCTTTTTTTTGGGTTGGTACAAGAAAGAATGAATATTGTTTGTGGTAGAAATTCAGCCAGAATAGATTGGACTGCCAAAAACAAGCAACTTTCTTCAAGGACAAAAACAATATTATCCGTTTCCGCTTGCATACAAACACAAGCTGACGAAAAAAGAGTCAAATTGCGCATCCAAAGTCTAAAGTCTGTATAGAATAAGAAGTAACGGAGCAGGAAGCGTGGAGGCTCCGGCAAATAAATTAAATTAAAAACCGAGTGAAGTTATATGATGAAGGCGAGCCTATGTAATGGTTACCCATGAAATAGACTGGGCTTAGCCTACTAGATAAGCGGGTCGGCCCAACATTTAAATGGGCTCCAGTTGAACTCGAACCTGCCGAGGGCCCCGTATCTGATAAAGCCGCGATGGAACTCGCATTTGAGAACAGGCTCATATTACACATACCCCCCCCCCCCGGGGGGTGTGTGGCCCCTGACTTTCTTTCAGGCGGGAATTCGATTTTGTTTGGCGGCAAACCAGACCGCAGGGAAATCGGCGTCTTCATTATTGTTATGACTTGTTATGTTACTTCAGTGGTTAAAATATGGTATCTCCAGGTCTAAAATATAAGACAAACTAGCGTCTGTATACATTAGTTCGACGCCTTGAACTGTTTTCTTATGACATCGATACACACACACACGCACAAAAACTATTGGAAGCCGTGTTTTGTGTGAATTTTGAAACATTATAACGTTATCCGGACAAAACCCTGCGTCATGAGAGAACATTTATGAAACCTCCGCTCTTCATGCCAAAGTCTGAACTGAATTGAATTGAGCCTTTGAGTTCCTTCGTCGATATATTGTTGATTTGTTGTTCTTAATGCATTTCCAACGGTTAGTATATTAACTAGCTCGTGTTTCGGTTGTTAGAGATTGGACTGCATAGTTAATCGTGATTGTAACTGTTGCAGTTAGGCCTTGTAATCTGTAGAGAGGTCCTCCCTGTAAGTATATTAGGATCAGGGAGTTTCCCTCACCTCACTTTCTCTATTCATCCACTGGGTTCATTTCATTTTGTCTGGATTCATTATCACCTAGATTTATCGTCTTGTCAGCTAGGTTCATCACCTTGAGGTATTCCATGCCACAGTGAGGTTTCCCTTCCCTCAAGCATTTGGTGTGGCGTGGGATATAGTCTTCTTCGCTTTTGGCACAGTGCCTTATGTATCAGATTCCATAGTCCTTGATTCTTGGCTCAGCTATGGCATATATTTCATTTCAGGTGATATGCATTTTTCAATCGTGTTCGACATCTATTTGAAATTTGTAGAAGTCGGCAGTCGTTATCCTTTTCTACTTGAAACACCATGTCGAGTAATCATGCCTACAAGTTTATAGGATTTTGCTGCCTTCTCTTCTTTATAATACATGAAATGAAACTCGGTGAATCTTGAAATGATGTTTGGAGATTGTTGGGGAGGATGCAAACACGGTGGCTACTATCTATGCTTCAGCTGTTTTGGTTACTGCCCTTGGCACGCTCATCAGGTAAATTTGCCTTTAGATCGTTCTGCCATGCTTGAATTTTGTAATTTTTTTAGTTGGCTTTCTGTATTTTGTCTCCCTTATGATGGGGATTTTGGGATGTGTCATCACCTATTTGATGTGTTCAAATATTTATATACTAATTCATGCATTTTTGAGCTTTTTTTAATGCGTGTATTAGTTTTTAAATTGCATTATTGATGAATAAATATTTATTAAAAATTAATGCATGAGTTAATAAGAAGATGGGTAAAAATATCATTATTTTGATAATTATTTAGATATATGGTATTGCAATGTGTTTATATAGCATTGCAGGACATTTTAGTGGAGATTGGAAAAATCATAAAGGAGAACCTCATATTTATTAAACAAAAAAAAAAAAAAAGAGTCGAACGCTGCGTTTTAATTTAAGGTTAAAGAATCTTCATTGTCTTCAACGCAGACAAGGGAACTAGGTGCCGAAGGCAGCAAGAACCGAGGGGTTCTTCATGACTTTTTTACCGAAATGCTACAAATAATAAAATCATATACTAAAATACTGTATTTTTAAAAATATTTACTAATATGTTATATTTAAAATCATTCTTTAGGTGAACAATTTTTAAATTCGTTTTTTTAGTAAACGATTTCTTCAGAACCAATCATCGATGTTCGTGAACTGACTGAAAATCATTTTTTCTAGTAAACAACTTCAAAAATCATTCTTATGATGAATGATTTCAGAACTTCATCTCCTACTGAACAACTTCTCACCTAATAAATGAAAATAAAATGATTAGTATAATGATTTATTAATAATTTGAACGACCAAATGATTACTAAATAATGGGAGAAAAATGTTGATAATTATATAATGATATTAAAACTAATTGTAAAATGAGTATAAGATGTATATTAATTTTTTTTCTAGTTTATCACAGTCATTAGAAATTATTTACTTTGATTTCTTTTAAATTGTAAAAACATATTTCAAATTCATAGTTTTTATTTATCATACAATTTAAATGGTATAAGTTTAAAAGATTTTATAAATTATTTAAATTTATAATTCAAAACTTTCAAACACTTCTTTATTGCAAAGATTTATAAACATATTTAGTTATATATATTTATTAAAAAAATTAGTTAAAGTTTTAATCAAATCTTTTATGTTTGTCTTAACTAAATGAAATTGATGTAACTAGAAAAATATAATTTAAGAATTTATTAGAATCAGAAGTAAAATAGTAAATAAATTTTATTTCAATAAAAATTTCAATTAAAAATAATATTTTTATAATTTTTTTAGAATACTCTTACTAATAGTGTTAACTAATTGAATTGAACTGTATGTTTTTAAAATAGAAGGAAGATCTATATAATTGATGTAAACTGAAAAGACAGTCAGAATATTTTATTCTTGATTCAAAATACTCATATCATGACATATCATCACTAATTAAAAAATGCAACATAGCAAATAGTATGGAAAAGGCAAAATGAAAAAAAGAAATTATGAGTACCCCTCATTCATTTCAATTTTTCATTACTTACACCTTATTTTTACCTAAAAAATATAAGAAAACAATAGTTCACTAGAAATGGGTCAAACACCTTTTTTTTTTTTTTAATTTACCAACTTAATATATACCACAAATTTGATATTTAGAATGTATATATAATTATTTTTCAGTTCCATCTTACCAAATTTAAACTTCTAGAGAAGTATACTTTCATAAGAAAAAATAATAATCATATACTTAAAAAAGATTAAAGCTTACATCAAAATCTTAACATCTTAAAATAATATAATAGATGATAGTTTTACCTTTAAAATAAAAGGCACCTGGCTTAAAAAGAGTACAAATATTTCAGATTATTGAACTCACCACTCACCTCCTGAAAATTAGAATAATAAAATATTAACTCATCAATAGTAGTATGGATGAAAAATCAAATTCTATATCACAGCTGCAAATTTTTTAAAAGAAAACATAGAAGAGAAATAACATACCCACAGCAGCAGTAAAATAGCTTGTCAAGTGTTTGGAAGCAAGAGTGAAAAAATAACAGAGAAAAAGAACAATAAAAATGGAACAAGTGAGAAGAAGAAGAAGAAGAAAAGGAAGAGAGAGCTCATCTGAAAGGAGATGAAGTATGAAAACATGTGACATAAAAAACCATGTACGTTGCTGTAGCTTCACGGGAAGGAAATAGGAGATTCTCACGTGCATAAAAGTGACAGAGATTCTTGCACGCAAATAAATTAGCAAAGATTCTCACGTGAGACATGAATAAGAAAAAATAAAATCATTTTTAACGTAAACGATTTTAAAAATTGTTATTGACATAAACGATTTTATTTTTTAAATTTTTTAAAATTAAAAAGTAAAATCGTTCACACTAAAAATGATTTTATTTTTTATTAGTTAACATATAAATCGTTCTTGTCAAAAATAACTTGTATACAATTTGAAAGTTGTTCTTACCAAGAACGATTTTAAATGTAGCATATTGATAAATACTTTTAAAATACAGTATTTTAGTATATAATTTTACTATTTATAACACAGCATTCCTGTTATGTGACAGACCCATCTCATATGGTACACACCAAAACCATACACACACGCGACCACCCTTCAACTCTCATATACACACACGAGACCACTCATCACACACAGACCATCATCACGGTCTTCCCTCTTCATCGTCTTCAGCGCGGCACACCACCCACGCGACCATCTTTCAACACTCGATCACCGCAACCAGCATCATCATCCTCGGCCTTCATCATCAGCGAGTTATCACCAGTATCGCCCTTACCCCTTCTCTTCATCCATTCAAGGCTGCCATGGGATCAAAGTTTGTGTTAGCAAAATTTTGAAACCATGTGTAGCTAATTCCATCAAGCTTCTTAGAGATGAAGAATTGGGTTTGAGATTCAGAGTTAGGAGAGTTTTTATATTTCAATTCCTTAGATTTAATAAATTAAGTAATGAACTTTCTGAATTGGAATTAATATTATTTAATTAAATTTTTTGAGATTATTGGTTGTATTTCTTAGTTTGGAATTAACTTTTTGTGATTGAGATTGGATTATACAATTGAGAGATATATATACATATATATATTTTTGAAGTTCTATGTATTTATGTTATTCTTTCATAATTTGAATGAATTTTATAATTGTATAGTACTTGTTAAATATCTTAAGTTGAGTGTTCTTTCTATAAATACCCAAATTACAATAATCTGAGCCTAATTGTATACTAATAGGTTTTCAATGATATTTTTAGTTAGTAATTGTAGCTAGAGTTTTGGGACATCTATTGATTAAGATTACTTACTTAATCAGTGACTAAAGTTTTGATTTTAAATTAGTGAGCAAAATAATTCCTAGATCATTTTGAGTAAGGATAAACCAATTTCTATTTTCTAAGAAGCATTCTCTCATATTTCCCTAAAATCCAAATTTTTATCATTTGCTATCTTTTTTTTTCTTTTTATATAAAAAAATGAAAAGGTAATTTGAAATTTGAAAGTTCAGCACCCATTAGGGTGGGCTTTATGCCGTCACAAAAGTACATAATTTTGGAATCGTGAAGCTTCATAATGAGGAAATTGGAGCAAAGCTTAAAGTCAATGATTCTTAATAAATATTTATTTATCAATAATGCAATTTAAAACCAATAAGCACACTAAAAGAACTCAAAAATACATGAATTAATATAAGACCCTTATACTAAAGGGTTTTATATTTAGGACCAGAAAAGTATATAAATATTTGAACACATCACTGTTATTAGCAGAGGAGGGGTTTACAACACCAGAAAATCTTCATTGTTGAGCTTTTTTAAATTGGATTTTGTGAAGAATTATACAATTGGACCCGACTTCAATTCTTGATCTTAAACCTTATAGCAATTAATTTTTTGACCAGCAAATCCTTATAGCAATTAGATATAAGAGTACCCTTAGCTTTCGCGTAGTCTACTCAATCAGATGAAGCCAGCCCTATTATTGTCCTTTAGTTTATCTGGCATATAGGACTCTGTTTCGGCCAGGGATAATTTTCCTAGTTGATCTTTTATGTTAGCCTATATCCAATACAGGGACCTTGGTAAGATTATTTGAAAATGAGTTTTCCTTCAAGTTTGTGGTAGAAAAGGGGTACATGGGAATTTCTGTCACATGAAAACACGATATTTTGCTGGAATATCTCAAGTTGTTCCATTATAATTTGTCATCCATTATGGCCACTTGAAACCTTTAACAAATTGTCAGTGGGATGGCATCATTCATGCCATTTGCTGTCCCTGTTTTGTCATTCAATTATTATATTCTTGGTTCTTTTTTTTTTATTGTGCTATTTTCTGGTTAAAATGTCAACACATGCTTTAAATAAGTAAATATTGTCAAAAAGTAATTTGAAGGTATTTAGTACCCGGTTTTAATGATTCTGATTCATTGAATTGTTTGGTGATTTCAACAAAGATTACAGTATTTTGGGTGTTCTAACCCCACTGAAAAAAGCTATAAGAATTTCTAGTTTAATTTATATTCCCCTCAATTTTTATTATAAACTTTAAATAACTAATTTATGAATAACAAATTGTCAGTTAAAATTATTTAAAAGCTATAAATAGGCTAGAAATATAGTTTTGTTTTTGAATATGTTCATCTAATAAATAAAAAAAGATAAAAGAGAATATGTGAAAGAATATAATAAGAAAGAATATGATAAAAGAAAAAAATAAATAATTAAAAATAAAATAAAATAATACATTAAATGTTAAGATAAAACTCATGTTGAAACTTTTAAAAATGAATCATTCTTCTTCCCAAATTTAAAGTTTATGATTATGTATCACACTAAACGTAAAAGCTATAAATACAGTGATATATTATTATGTTATAAAAGTTCATAAACTACTCCATTTATCCTTATTTATAAGAAACAACTACTATCTTCTTCTTATTTCTAAATATAAACAACATTTACAGATTGCCTTAAATTTTTGTCGAATTTTTTTTATTTTATCCTATTTAATTACTTATTTTAATACCTAATATATTTATTATCTCATTTTTAAATCATCATCTCTCTTCATCTACATTCTTTTTCTTTCACAATTCTTTTTATTATAATAATTTTTTTATTTTTTTCTTATATTCTCCCTCTTTTATATAAATAAAAGTATTTTAGAGAAAATCTTTTAATTTTTACTTATTTATTGAGATGTTAAAAATTATTGGTTGGCTCTATCCGCAATTCCTGAAACTCGCCTATGTTGCAATGCAATAACCACCGGGTGAGTCGATTAGGCCTCTTGCTTGGAGGAGCGGAGATGGATAAGACGACAAGAAGGTTTATCCTCTCATGTAATGACCAGCATCCTAGTTATTGAATTTTTCTTGCCAAATCAATTTCCCCCCCTTTTTTTTTTGGTAATTCTTAGTTTAAACTAAAGTAATATGGCTGTCGATAATGTTAATTAGGTAATAGGTTTATGATTATGATGGGGAATTTTTTAAATATTATCCTTTCCTTTAAATATTACTTGTAATATTTTAAGTTAAACTTTGATTTTTTTTTAACCAAAGTTAAACTTTATTTCTTTAAAAAAATAGTTGATAATTATTTCACCAAAAAAGTGATAATGAAAAATTTAAAATTATCCTTATTTATCATTATGCTTTTATCGAAATAAAAATTGTGATTTTAATATTAAAACAAATTGACAATCTGGACAGTTTAATTTTGATATAGGTTATTTAAATTTAACTTGCAATATTATATTTAAAGAACCTCGTATTTAAAAACGTCTTAATAAAGATGTTTAGTGATAATTAGGTTACAAGCCTCCACACCTCGTCACTAGTTTTGTTATTATTAACACTGTCAACTTATTTTTTTAATTGTATGAAGAAAAAAACATAGTTTTGGATTTGCAATCCATTTGTTTTTATTTATCCAAAAAATCTTTAAGATATAGGTGTAAAAATTTCGCTAAAAATACAGATATAAGATGAGCACGAATTCAATCTCTTTTTAAACATTCCTTTTTTATCGGTTCAGTCAGAAATTATCACTTTAAACTTTCCTATTCTGATTCGGATATAGGACCAGCCCGAAAACCACACACCAAAACTATCACCGTCCGTACAAATTGCACCCTCATTCTGCACCGTTCGATCACCGGGTGCATATATATATATATATATATATATATATATATATCCTCTTCGCCCAGCTTGGCTGCCACGCAACGAAGCGAGGGCGAACCAGAGTTTCGAGGGAGACGTACGAGAGTAAGACGAACATAGGCATAACCATGGCGGCTACTGTATCTGCCTGGGCTAAGCCCGGGGCTTGGGCCCTGGATTCCGAGGAACATGAAGCTGAGCTTCTTCATCAGAAGGAAGAAGATGACGCTGCTGCTTTTCCTTCTCTTGCCGCTGCCGCTGCAACCAAACCTAAGAAGAAGAAGGGCCAGACCATCTCCTTGGCTGAGTTCACCTCTTATGGGGGCGCTAAACCGGCTCAGACATCTCAATCCGATGTCTTAACACATGAAGATCTCATGATGCTGCCAACAGGTCCTCGCCAGCGAACCGCCGAGGAGCTTGACCGTGACAGGAATCGGCTTGGCGGTGGCTTTAGGTCCTATGGTTCCCTTGACCGGCCTAATAGGAATTATGGCGGTGACGATTCCTCCAATTCTAGATGGGGTTCTTCTAGGGTTTCTGACGAGCCAAGGCGGAATGGTTCGTTTGGTAGGGAAGCAAATCGTGATATGGCTCCCTCGCGAGCCGATGAAATAGATAATTGGGCTGCTGCAAAAAAATCAACAGTGGGAAACGGATTTGAGGGGAAGGAAAGGGATAGAGGACGGTTTTTTGATTCTCCTTCCAGAGCTGACGAATCGGACAGCTGGGCATCAAAGAAGAACTTTGTGCCATCAGAGGGACGGAGATTTGGTTCTAATGGCGGTGGATATGAAAGGGAGAGGAAAGTAGGATTCGTTTCCAGTGGTGGTGCAGACTCAGATAATTGGAATAGGAAGAAGGTGGAATCTAACGGTGGAAATGAGAGAAGTGAGACTGGAAGTGTTAGACCGAGACTCGTTTTGCAACCTCGATCAATGACTGCGAATAATGGAAACCAGGAGGGTTCTGGGACAGTGACCAAGCCCAAGGGCTCAAGTCCTTTCGGAGACGCTAGGCCAAGGGAGGAGGTTTTGGCAGAGAAAGGGCAGGATTGGAAGAAGGTTGATGAGCAGCTTGAGACAATGAAGATTAAGGAGCCGGTAGAGCAAAAGGATGGGTTTGGGAAGAGGGGTTTTGCGGCTGGCAGTGGCGGTGCTAATTTGCCCGATGATCGGACTGAGAGAAGTTGGAGGAAGACTGAATCTGACGATAGTCGTCCAAATAGGTTTGTCAACTTAGTAATTTAATTGTTACGTGTTTATTTAAGCATTGTATGTTTATGATTGGCTGTGTGGCTTGTTCGTGCATGTACGCTATTAAGAAGCTTAGGGCCTTTCGAGTTGGATTATGCAATCTTCTTTTGCCATGTTGCGATGCTTGCTTTAATATGCTACCATTGGGGCATGTCATGGATATTACGCCTTTATAAGTCGGCTACATACTGCTCTGTATATTGCACATAGGCTGTTGTCCTGCCTGCTAATGAATGTGCTTATTGTGACTGGCCTGTTTCAGAAGCCATAATTGGGATGGGATTCTTCCAATTGTTGCTTTGATGGGTAGGATTTTTCTATGGTCTTTGACATGTTCTAGTATTTTAGTATATTGAAGTTATGAACTCCTCCTTTATTGCTATCTCTTTATGATCTTGTTTTTAACCTTAGCTTGAGTTTCGGCTGCATTTGACGCAGCATCCATGTGCTGGCTTCCATGTGTTGAACATAACTTGGTTGATAATGTTTTTGATCCTTTATATGTTCCTTCTGCCGAGCTAAATTTTAAGAACATAGAGTTCATGACCCTATCTTTCTAGATTGTTAATAGTTAAACTGATTGTTTTTGCCAGCCTGTCTTCTTCCTAGGGAAAATCTTCATTGTTCCTGCGTGTTGCTCAATTGTTTTTTAGTCTAGTTTTACACTCACAATTTTCTGCCTTACGCTGCAGTGCTGAGAAAGTTGAGAATGGGCGTGTTGAAGAAAGCTGATGAGCTGTGAATTTTCTTTGCCCCTGCACATTTTTGTCAGAGCTGGAAAGGGTTGTGGGGGATGTTAGACCTCGTGTTTTTGCCAAATTGAAGTTGTCACCACGACTTTGGTCTTTTCTCTTGAGACACTAGTGAAGTGATAAAATTTTGTTAGTTATTCTGATAACTTAGGTAGTCTTATAGCTTTTATGGCTTTTTTGTTAAGTGAGGCAGTGATTTTTATTTTCTTTCACCATTTAATATATAGACTTATGTTGTCTGCAAAATCTCGATGCTGGGTTTTGCAGACGTAGTATGTGCTCTCGACTAATTTACAAGTGCCACGATATTTGTTTATTGTTTTGTTCTTTTTCATCAGCCTAGGTTTCCGTGTGTCCCAGAAAACTTGGTTATAATAGATGCCAATGTCATGTTCATCGTGATATGAAGATTACTCTGTTGTTTTAGCTGTAGCCAGGAGAATGCGTAAGCTGTTGGGAACTGCTGGTTTGTGTCTTTTAACGTTTAATAACTTATTTTGGGGGGCATGACAATTGCTGACCTTGTAAAAACATTGATGACAATTGAGAATTCTAATTATTGAGACGCTGTGCCTGTGGAAGGACCATGGTTTTTACTTTGCAATTAAAAAATAAATGACTTCACAAAATTGCCTTTATTTTTTTGATACTAGGGAAGGTAGAAGGCAAAACTAACCCCAACTCCCTACTGCGCGTCTAACGAATCTCTAGCAAGGGTAGCTCCCATAATCTGCAGGGCAAGCTCGCTGTTCGGGGCCTCCTTTGCAGTTCAACGTTCCACCAAATTGCCTTTATCATCGAATGTTGAAAATAGCCAATGGAAGGTCACTCTTGAATTTAAGGATGGTTAATTGTGAATCTAGAGAAAGTTGATTTGTCATGTGAATGTAAAGATAATTACTTGTAGATTTTTGGGAGGTCATTTGTGGATTTATGAAAAGCTAGTTGTGAATGGTTTTACACACACACACACACGGGAAATTAGTTGTGAATGGATGGATAATCTTTTTTGAATATATATTACATTTACGTGCATTTAAAGATAATTACTTGTAAATTTTATGATTTAAAGATCTTTGGATGTTTCTGAATATTCATTTATAATTGACTTTTTATAAATCCAGAATGGCGTTCTTAAAATTCACAAATGATGATGAATAAATTTTTAAGTTCGTAATTCACTTTTCAATAAAATAGAGAAAGAATTTTTGTTAAATTTATGACCTTTTATTCGCTACTGTTTATATTTGGTTATAAGGATACTTTTAGAAAATTATTTGTTTTTAATTACAAATAACAATATAGTCTTTCCATGAAATTTTAACAATTAATTTCATAAATTCTAGTTTCATAATGGACACGTCAACTACTGACCCTTTCAAAGCCAGTATTGACGACAAACTAGGGTACACGTATACGAAATCAAATTTTCATAAATCCTCCTCTGGGAGCACCAATTATCATCTCCATCAGAATATATCACCACCAGTGATTAAAAAACACAAATATTCCACGTTAACATACCAGTATCTCATTACTCCTAAAATATTTCTACCAATTATTTTGTTCTCAATGTTCCAATGCACTCATAAGAATCTGCCTTAATATATATACTATGATAAGGGATTAGTTAATAACTACCTTCCTTAGTACTACTATTATATTACCTTCCTTGCAAGGCAGCGAATATTGAAACAACACGCAAGTGCCAAGTTAATTAATACTTCCTCTGGTTCTAAATATAAGACTTTTTTTTTTTTATGAAACATCAGGGTATCCACCGGCGGACCCGGTGACTAATCCCTTCGTTGGCTTGTAGGCACTTTGATGGGTGAGACAACTGGCCTGGGGTTTTAAAGCTTTTTCATGCCCAAGACAAGGATCGAACCCTCGACACTTGATTAAGGGAGGATGAGCCCCCACCTCTCAACCACACCCCCTGGGTTCTAAATATAAATTACACTACAAAAAGAGTCTTATATTTAGGACCAGATGAGCACATTAATTTAGTGCCTCACTAGGGCAAATATAAGATACCTTACAATATGCTTCCAAGTGATATAAATTGCAGGGTAATGTGGCAAAATTAGTATAGGAAAAGAGCTTAAATGGCTTCCACATTAAAGTCACAAGGCTTCTCAATAATGTTGATAATTCTTGTGACCATATTATCATCAATTGGGTCACTCACCATTGCTGTACAAGGGTTTTCTATTAAAGAAGCAACCATTGCTGAGATCCAATTGGCTTTTGAGCAAAACAAGCTCACCTCGAGGCAGCTAGATGAGTACTATTTGGGAGAAATCAAGAGACTGAACCCAGTGCTGAAGGGTGTGATAAAGGTGAACCCACATTCCTTGGCTCAAGCTGCTAAGGCTGATTATGAGAGCAAGATGGAAGCACCAAGGTCACTGTTTGGATTACATGGAATTCCAGCTCAAGGATAACATTGGAACAAGGGATAAGCTTAACAGCACGGCTGGCTCCTTCGCTTTGCTTGGGTCCTCTGTGCCTCGTGATGTTGGTGGGGTTTCTGAGTTAAGGAAAGCTGGGGCCATCATACTGGGAAAGACCAGCATGACTGAGTGGGATTCACTGAGGTCTACCACTCTTCCTAATGGTTAGAGTGCCAGAGGCGGCCACGCAAAGGTTTGTGTCAAGCTTTAGTCAACCTAGGACTAGTTGTTTTCGAGTGTTTTGAACATGCGGGATGGTAGTATCATGAACATAGTTTGAATCATAATTTTTGTGGGTGTGCAGAATCCTTATGTACAGTGGATCAGCAATCTCGACTGCTGCTAATATGGTTGCAGTGTCACTTGGAACAGAAACGGATGGGTCACTTTTTGTGTCCAGCAAGTTTTAATTCTGTAGTAGCCATCAAGCCAACTGTTGGCGTCACTAGTCGAGATCAGGCTATTCCTATTTCTCCCAGATAGGACACTGTTGGGTGAGAGGGTTTGATATTTCAAGAGAATGATATGAAGATTGAGATGAAGTTGGACTTCTTCTGAACACTTTACCCACCATGTGACAACATCTAGTTTTTATTTGGCAGGTCCCTTGCCAGGACTGTATCAGATGCTCCATATGTTCTTGATGTAATTGTAAGGCCTGACCATAATGATCCTGAAACTACAAATGGGTCTAAATACACTCCCCACGGTGGCTTTAAACAATGTCTTAACCGTTATGGGTTAAAAGGGAAGAGACTGGGAATAGTAAGAAACCCATTCCTTAGACTTTTGAATGACACTAATATTACTATCTCTTTTGAGAATCACTTCCACGTCCTAAGGTAACCAACCATCACTAAGGTTTGATGGTATATATTTTTGAGTCATTCTTATGCAGCACTATTAACATCATATATAATTTTCTGAAAATTCTTGGGAAGAAGGAGCAACCATCGTAGATAATCTTGAAATAGCAAACATAAGTACCATCCTAAATTCAAACACAAGCCGGGAAGCAGTGGTAATATTAGCCGAGATCAAACTATCCCCATGCATATCTCAAGAACTTGGTTGTCTCACCAGTGAGATCATTGGCAGATATCATTGCCTTCAACATCAAGAATGCAGATCTGGTACGTACTACTAAAGTTTTTTTCCCCCGGGACTAAAGATCAACTCTTTTTCGATGAATACGAACAATACCTATTCAAAATGGAATATGAATTATGCAGGAAAAGATGAAGGGATTTGGTCAGCATATATTCTTGGCATATGAGGCAACAAATGGAATTGGAAATACTGAGAAGGCAGCATTGGCCTATTTGGCTAGTTTATCTAAAGAAGGGTTTGAGAACTGATGAGAGATTATAAACTTGATGCATTGGTGACTCCTGGATCAATTGTGTCTCCTGTTCTAGCGATTGGAGGATTACCAGGAGTGAATGTGCCCGCAGGACCTGACACCATTTGGCATTAACTTTGGAGGGTTGAAGGTTCTGATGCAAAGCTTATTGAGAGTGTTTATGGGTTTGAGCAAGCAACTGGGATTAGGAACCGCCCCATACTCAAGCCTTGAAACTCCTGTGATCCAACCCTATCCGAATATTGTATTGCTTTTACGTTATATTTTTTTATGAATTAAAAATATTTGAAAATTTTAATTCGTGATTGCTTATACTTTTACCTCATTTTATATGAGCTCTTTGTAGGTTTTTTTTTCCTTTTTTTATTGCCTCCTTATAGTGCATTTAATTATAGGCATTGGACCATATACTCATCATCTATTAATTAGAGTTGACGTTAATGTTTTGACAAAAAAAAAAAAAGAGTTGACGTAAATGTTAACTAAATTATATATAAGATGTTAACTAAATTATATGCAAGTTGTGAAATGAAAACAACTTTTTAAAAAAATAATATGATGATCTAAACTTTATTTATTAATAATATAAAAATAAAAATTATTATATGTATAATCATCATCTTGTATTTATATGTAATTTGCAATCTGGTTAATCTGAATTTATTTAAGTTCATATAATAAAATTTATCTAGTATATGCTGGCAGAAGCCACGTTATGCGTTACTAACATTGTTGAGTATAGGCACCAATACTTCTAATTAAGGAAATTATGAGAATCTAATAGAAAACTATTAAAACTAAATTTAAAATGCGTTAAAATTATAGGAAATTTCATGTTAATTTTCTCAAATGTTTTTTATTCACGACCCCGCTTAGCGTCAACCAATCTGACATAGCCGGGCGGAGGAATCTGCTCTTTCAACTTTCATATGCGATACTTGTTGCAGCGTTGATCCCCGTTACATTTACCATTATCAGCAATCATGGTGGCCGGAGCTGCTTTGACGAATCCACTGCTGCCCTTCAATGTAGCAAGATGATGAATAATATATTACATACTTCACATGGATTTGGTCTGCAATGCTATTTCGATCCTGAACTTCTTGTACCATTGACATTGAAATTACGAAGGTTATATGCCTGAAGTTTCTGTTCTGTCAATAGTTTGTTTGGTTTTAATGAAAAGCAATGCTGTGCAGATCTGGTGATTATAAAAA